CAAATACACCGAACTAGCTACGACTACTGACTGAAAATATACAGCCCAGGATCGAAAGTGTCTGACAGAGCTACGTGTGATGTGTTGGGGTATCCCAGTCAAAACTTTCTCATAGAATACCTACACCAATTGGCCCGCAAGGTCTCGGTATTCCTGGTGTTCCTCTCCAACCACTGTAATTTTTTTCTCGACTAGTCTAAAAAAAAAAACAGAGGAAGTAAGAAACGGTTTTTGTTAATGGCCTAGTCAAATGCCGTTAATTATATCGCCAACAGATTTTCATAAACCACATTTATATTTTTCTTAATTTCTATTGCATTCAAAAAATCCTTCGGTAAAAATTCATTTCCAGTGTGAATACCTGACATAGAAGCAAAGTTAAGGTCATGCCCGGCAGTCCGCGACAAGTCACCAGTTTGTCCGTATCCCGACAAACGCGCTACCACAAGTTTTTTATTATCCTAAAGTCCAGGAATATAATTCGATATTTTTGAAACGAAATAATGTGAAAGTTAAACTGCGTCTAAAACGAGCTACTCCCAACTATCACGAGAACTAGAAATGCAGGTTCTTCTCTTGGGCCTAGGCTTAAAAGTAAAAGTGAGCTAAAAATGAAATGCGTTTTTCTTGCACCGAAGAATAGTGCTTAAAAAAGCATTGAAATAAGGGAAAGCTGCAGAAAACTTAGTGCAGCTTTATTATTTTGCGATAAGTTTTTACGGGCGCAAAGTTAGTGAAAGCGCTCTAAAATCGCATGAGAAAATGTAGGAAGCAATTGTATGAGTAAATATCGCAAAAGATGCAAAGAAGGGAATAAAAACAGAGAAAATAACATACTTTCAACAGTTCCACTGGATCGAGGCCTAATTTTTCCAGCACACCAGGCCGAAACGGATCCAGTAAGACATCGCTGCTCAATATCATTTCGCGAGCCTTTTTCAAGCCATCTTTTGTTTTCAGATTTAGCAAAATCAATTCTTTTCCTCTAGTTAAGCAATGCTCATCGATAGGTACTGTTTTTTCGCCCTTAAATTTTAAGTTATGGTTTATAAATATGGCCCGCAGAACTGAGTTACGTGCACAGTAGTTTCTCTTTCGAGGGCATTGTAAACTAGTGTATTACTACTTTCGTATTATGGTGTTACAAAATCTGTTGCTGTTTCAAAATTCGTGTAATTTAGCCCATTAATCATGCACTGTGTTTTTGTGTTCCGTGTTTTTTCCCTCTTCTGAATTCAGTTATATGACATATAAATATATAATAAACATGTGAATAAAAATATCGTGTCGCATCGCACACTCTGTCCCTGACGGATAGGAAACTGTACAATGAATCCTACTCCTATCGGCACGTTCGGCTCTGTCTGCGTTTACAGCAGCGGGAGGAAAAACAAATATGGTTTACTCAATTATGGTTTACTCATCGATACCTTGATTTAGCATCTTGCTTTTCTTGTCACTAACCAGAGATTAATATCTGCATCACAAACAAATTACCCTACTGTTTTATGTAAACTACCAGCACAAACACAAAGAGTATGACAATCTCTTTTCAGATTAATGTATGAGTTTTGTCATCTTTGTTTTACAGAAATAACTCCTAGATACGTTAGAACAAAACAGTTTAGCGATACGAAAAATTACGTAGCACATAAGATCTTTCAAAAAAAGCAACCCTTGAAATAACTGTAACTTTGGCCCCAAAATCACTGAGTATGAGTCCACAGTGTGGTACCGGCACATAGCCCTCCAGTTCGATCACTTTGATGCCGTCCAGCGGTCGAATCTGCTTTGCACTGCTGCACATTCGAATGTACCGGCACCACAGCGTACGGTTCAGTAAATGAAAGAACATACTAATGGGTTGCTGCTACACCCATTTGTTCTGTGCTGCATTTCTCTTCATTGCTAACAAGCTGATGAATGTTCAAATCCCTAAAAATTTGCTAAATTTTTAATTT